TTCTTTATATAGTCTCAATGTCTCTCTTCCTCCTGGTCTCCCATCTTCAGAAATCCCTACTGCTTAAATATAATGTTCAGAATCAAACATCGTATACAAAGTGATTTAAAAGTAAATTACTTATAGCCAGTATCAAACTATCAAAAGTATGGTTTAAAATTCAGATTGCTGAACAAACGTTCAGATCTTAATTGAATGATTCGAACCTAAATATGTTTATTTGGGATTCCTATTTTACTATAGGGACTCTTTTTTTCTTGAAATCTCTAGCTGTAATTGTGGATTTTATCTATTGTTCTTTTCAATTCTATCACTTTTGTTTCATGTATTTTGATGCCCTATTATTGCATGCATACACATTTAGGCTTGTTATGTCTTCTTGATGCATTTAAATCTTTAGCATGATATAGTCCTCTTTTAACATGATATAGTCCTCTTTATCCATGGTGATACCCTGAATGTTACATTGTGCAACTATAACATAGCCATTCTGTCTTTGATTCATGTTTGTGCAATATGTATTTCTTCATCTTTTTGCTTGTATTCTGTTTTGTTTGTTTGTTTGTTTGTTTTTGATTTTTTTTGGTTAAAGCAGATTTCTTATAGAAAGCATATAGTTAGACTTTGTTTTTATTTTATGCAATCTGGTAATCTCTCCCTTTTAATTTGAGCATTGAGACAATTTACATTTAAAGCATTTATCAATATAGGTAAGTTTAAATCTAACATTTTGCTATTTGTTTTCTCTTTGTCCATTAGTTTCTGATTTCTTCGGATTAATTGTATATTATAATTTCATTTTAATTCCATATTTGTTTATCAGCTATAGTTCTGTGGTGTGTATGTGTACATGCATGCATGCATATGTTTATTCTATGATAGTGATTCTCTAATTTTTGTTTTGTGGTTTTCATAATGCTGATAAGATGTAATTTGCCTATTTCACACTCAGTCTTTTATAAGTGTACAGCAAAGTCTTCTGGAGTCTACATGATGTGTGATAAGGCCATTGCTCTAATGGTTATGAAATATATACATGTGTAATCATTTAAAATTTTTCTGTTTTGACTTTTAATATGATAACTATCCATAGATATTACCATGTAAGCAAAGCTTAAAGGGGTTCCCAATAATTTATAAAATTATAAAGCTATTTTTGGAGGAAAAATTTAAGAGTAATCAGTCTAATACTCTGGGGGACCTTTCTACATAGCTTCGAAGCTCTATCTCTGTGTAGCACCTTTCTTTTCAGTATTCTGTTCCACAGACTGTAGCTGTATTGTCTTCTTCCAACCATGATATCTGTCTCCTCACCTCAATGTGACTGCTAGTTCTGCAGTTCTTAGCACTACAGCCTAGAAACTGTGCCAGGCATAAACTGTGGCTATCATAGGACATACCTCTTTTTTTCCCCCCTTTTCTCAAAAGTCACAATTTTCTACCTATTGTCTGAAAATCATTGCACCTTACAATTCTGTTATCTAGTTGCTTAGGGGCGGAGAACAATTTCTATAGTACAGAGGACTTTATGGGAAGAAATGAAAATCTGCTGAATTTTCTGTTTAGTCTAGAGAATACATGTTTTTGGAATTTGGAGCAGTACCTACTTGTAGGTATTTTGCTTTCATGTCTGTATAACATAGAATGTAACACCCAATTAACCACCATACAGACACACCTACACCACCAAATATACACCCCCTATCCACACTTAGCATCTATACTGATGCTTAATCTCACCTATGGCATTCCAATTCCCTGATGAAACTTAGGTAAAATGTCACACTGAGTACCTACAGCATCATCCTCATGCCTCTCTTTCTCTCTTCCAGGTCTTCAAAAGAATTGAAGTGTAGTAAACATTAATGAGGGTAACACTCACTTTTTCTATAACTACTCCATAGGACACTTTGCTTCAAAAGATGTGGCCTCTAGGGTCAAGAGTTTGAATGAGAATATGGAGTCTCTTCAGGCTCGAGCTGCTAGACGGCAAAATGATCTTGAGGCTAATGTCCAGTTCCAGCAGTACCTGGCTGATTTGCATGAAGCAGAAGCATGGATTAGAGAGAAGGAACCTATTGTAGAAAACACTAACTATGGGGCTGATGAAGAAGCAGCTGGGGTAAGGCAAAATTGGTGATGGACATTGTCTAGTATTCACCAAATAGTACCATATTAGATTGTGGGACAGTTACAGGTTCTGTTAGATTATTTGGAGGTTCCAGAATGGTAGCCTTTGGACTTTTTTTTTGCTAGAATACCTTCAGAGCTGGCAGAGATCCAAAAATACATTTTCCTAATCCCACTAAAACCCATAGATTCCCTAGAGATTATCTAAACTCAGAAAGGCATGACCAGAGATCCATACCTGTCTTGGTCCCATCTTAAACTTCCCAGAATAAACTTGAGATTTCACAAACCAGCCATGGTTTTAAGATATAGTTATCTTAAATACTTTAATAAAATAAAATCAGGCAGACATATCGGAGCAAGAAGAAAATCAAAGGTTATATTATCTTTTATATCTATTTCTTTGTTTTATTTGTTGTCCTGTGGGAATACAGTAGAGTATTTCACAAACTTTCAGCACTAGAAATAATTGAAATGAGTATCTAAAGTTACGCTGTTTCATCCTACAAAGTAACACTATCAGCAGCACCCTCTTTCAGCTGCAATAGGTGTTCCTAAAATGTTCGTGCACTTTTCACTTCATATTGAGTGAAACAAATATACTGAAATTGTTATTAACTTTTTAACTCCTATTTTCTTGATACTTAAAATTTAGGGTTAAGTCTACGTTAAATAGAAAGTGTCTTTTTCCAGGATGTTAGGAGAAACAGAAAAACTCGAAATTATGCTTGAAACCTTTCCCCCAAGATGCTTACTGTTCTTTCTGTTTTGCTTCCAATAATCTTTCCATCAACAAATCCAGGCTCTTCTAAAGAAGCATGAGGCCTTCCTAGTGGATCTTAATGCATTTGGAAAAAGTATGCAAGCTCTACGAGATCAGGCAGAAGTCTGCCAGGTAAGAAAAACTTAGAGATGACAAGAATCATGATTTTCACAACAGAGGAAAATAAATTCTCTTTATTACTTTTTTTTTTTTCTGTAACCCAGGAAACAATCGCAAAGAAAATAATAAGTTCTATAATTCTTATATGCCAGATTGTAGCATCTTTGTACATCTACAGAAGTTTAGTCCACAAGAATTTCTAGATAAGTGTTGTATTTTGGTTTCCTCTTTTCTTCCTTTTATACTTTCAATTTTCTTTAACATTTCATTTAATTGCATTTCTCCTTCTTGATAGATATGTAGTTATTGCCATATTGTTCTTCACATTTTTTATCTTTTTCTTCTTCCCCCTCTTTCTCTTCCTACTTCTCCTCTTCCTCCTCCTCCTCATTTTTCTTCTAGAAATCTGTTTAACATTTCTCGTTATATTGGTTTGGTGGTAATAAACTCCTTTAGCTTTGTCTTATCTGGGAAGCTCTTTATCTATCCTTCATTTTTAAATGATAACTTTACTGGGAAGAGTAATCTTGCTTGTAGGTCCTTGCTTTTTATCACTTTGAATATTTTGTGCTAATCCCTCTGGCCTTAAAATTTCTGTTGATAAGTCAGCTGACAGTTTTATGGGAGCTCCCTTGTAGGTAACTGCTTTTCTCTTGCTGCTTTTAAATTCTTCGTCTTTATTAACCTTTGACATTTTAATTACAATGTGTCTTGGTGGGGGCCTGGGTTAATTTTGTTTGTAACTCTCTGTACTTCCTGGGTTTTTATGACTATTTTCTTTCAGGTTAGGAAAGTTTTCCATCATTATTTCTTGAAATAGGTTTTCAGTCCTGTGATTTCTTTCTTTTCTCCTTATAACATGAATGTTGTTCACCTATAACATGAATGTTGTTACACTTGATGTTGTCTCAGAGGCCTCTTAAACTTTCCTTTTTAATTTCTTTTTTTTTATTTCGCTGTTTTAATTGAGTGTTTTCTGCCACTTTATCTTCCAAATAGCTGATTCAATTTGATCCTCTGCTTTATTTAATCTACTTTTGATTCCTCTAATATATTTTTATTTCAATTTAGTATTATTCATTTCTGACTGGTTCTCTCTCCATGTTTATGTTTTTATCTCTTTCTTGAAGTTCTCACTTACATCAATGAACATCCTTATTACCAGTGTTTTGAACTCTGCATCTGGTAGATTGCTTGTCTTCATCTTGTTTAGTTCTTTTTCTGGAACTTTATTCCGTTCTTCAATTTAGGATATGTTTTTTTCTCTCTCCATTTTGGCTGCCTGCCTGTGTTTGTTTCTATGTAGTAGATAGGGCTGCTATGTCTCCCGGTCTTATGTAGTGTGGCCTTATGTAGTAGGTGTTCTATAGGGCCCAGTGGTGCAATCTCCTTGGTCAACCGGGCCAGGTGTTCCAGGTGTGTCCTTTCTGTGGGGTGTGTGTGCCTCCTATTGTAGTTGCGTCTTGGTTGCTATATGCACAACAATGAGAATGACTGACCCTGAGGCTGAATGATCGTTAGGACTGACCACAGTGGAGGACCTACTGTGCAGGTGCTGACCCTAAAGAGTTGGATTTACTTTAGCAACACTTGGGTGCCTGATCAGTCTGCTCTCTGGATATGTCATTTGTGGAGGTGGTTGTGTGGTACTCTGATGGTCAGCTTTGGACCACCAGGTATATTGGTTCTGGGGCCCTTGGGAGGGGCTCTGGTGCAGGCCAAGTCCAGCCACTACCTGAACCCTGCCTGAGAGCACTTAGTATAAGGTACAAAGTGATCTGCAGATGGTTGCCACCTGTGCTGTGCTTAGGGTGCCTGGGAGAGGCTCAGCTGTGAACCATGGTTGGTGGCTGATAATGGAAGGCTTGGAGCTGCTTAGCAAGAGATAAGGGGCATGCTGAGATCAGATGCTGCTTGTTTGAGGCTTGTGAACATTTGAGAGATTTTAGGAACGTCTTTAGATGAGACAAGAGCAGGCTGTTTGTATGGAAAAGCCAATGTAAGTGGCTTGAGTCGGCCTGCAGGTTGTGTAAAGTGGGGTCTCAGGGAATCACTAGGGAAAGGTGAATGGGATGAAAAGTGTTAGCCAGGTTATTGGGATCTCAGATATGGTGCCTGCTGATGTGAGCAGGCTGGGTCATGGGAGGGCTTAACAAAAGAATAATGGATTCAGCCTGCATTTCTGTCTAGGAGGAAGCTGCTCCTCTAACCCTTCCCGTGAAGCTAGACAATTTAGTTCCTCCCTGTGTATTTGTAGCACTTTTTCAGCTGCTGCCCCAGTGCTGGAGATCAGAGCAAGAGAGGCCCTCAGAGAGTAAGTTTGTGCATGAGTTCTTTAAGAGGAATGCCTGAGACACCAGCAGCCTTTGGTCTCACTTGGCAACATCTATGCTGGTTTCACAGCCAGAAGTGATGGGGACTTCTTTCCCTGGCACTGGAACCCCAGGCTGGGGAGCCTTGTGTGGGGATGGGACTCTTCAATCCTCAGGGGGTTACCTCTCCACACAAGATATCTCTCCCAATTTTTAACTGCCACACATGGGTTTGGGACCAGCCTGTGTCACATTCTCCTCTCCTACAAGTCTCATTTTGGCTTCTTTTGCATGTCCTTAGTTGTAAAATTTCTGTTCAGCTAGACGTCAGGTGATTCTTCATGATGGTTGTTATGTAGTTTAGTTGTAATTTTGAGGTGGGAGGAGGTGAGCACAGCCTTAACTACGCCGCCATCTTAATTGGAAACCCTTATTTTCTTTCTTCCTTCCTTTCCTTCCTTCCATCCTTAGTTTTTAAACCAACATTTATTAAATATTTACCATGTGCAAACATGAATAAAAGTTAATCTTGATTTGTAGGAAAATTATGGTCTGTCAGGGTTTCAGATATTTAAACAAGTAAGTGCATATAATAGATATATGAACAGGAAAAGTGATTTCAAAAGAAGGAGTATTTCATTTTCTTGAAATAAGAGCATTGAAATATTCAAAACTGACTTATTGTTAACAAAAAAAAAGGTGGTTTACTGTGCAGACAAGGAGGAGAAGAACCTATCTAGTCAATAAGCTATGAGAGCAAATAAACCAGAGCACAAAATAATCAAGTGTATTTGCAAGATAAGAAATGCAAATGGTTGAGAATGTGAGAACGGTTAGTATGCAAGGTGAAAAGGGGTGTTCTGAAGAGTGATGAAGCTAGAAACAACTAAATGATATAAGTATCTCCTGTGTGAAGTAGAAGAGGGAAAAAAAGAAAAAAAATACATTCATGGAATTCTTTCTACTGAGAATCTCTGAATTCATATATTGGGAGTAGACAAAAGACATAGACTCACCATGTCAAATCAATATACATTGGCAAAGCTTCAATGTTGTGCCTTCACCAAGCGTTGCACAATGGCTGCCTAAAAAATAACAGATGGGTTTAAACATTGCATGTTATGAGGAAACATAGTACTTGAAGAACATAAAATCAGTGAAATCTGTAAGGGGAGGTACATCTTCAGCTCCAGTCTGAAGGTATAGGTCATTATGTATGGAGGGGGTGATGTTCTATTTTGTTAAATCTCTCAGAGATATGATATTTGCAGAAAGTAAAATTTAGAGGCTACCTTAAAAACAAATTGCCTGCTAAAGAGAGATACAAGATATTTTATCTAAGTTCATGTTCTCAATTTTTAAGATTCTGTGGCCTTTTTTGTGTTTTAGATAATCCATGTCTAAAAAGAAAATTCATAGTTTCTTTATACAATAATTTATAGGTCAAGGAGTTGGAAAGATTATTAGTGGAGGCCCAGTGAATGGAGAAGGTGATGAGAAATAGTGGGTCTTTAACTTTCTCAAACAATATTCTGAAATGTTGATGTGTATAATCCTTTATTACTTGCTTTGAGAACTGATGACTTAGAGACTTTAATATTTTTCCAACAAACTACATACTCATTTGCTCACTTTGTATTCATATTGCCCAGGCTACCTGTCCTCTGAGAAGTGTTAGGGTGGAGCAATATCTCTGAAAATGGCATGTGATGATTTCTCAGTTATTGGCAGCCATGCAAGAGATTCTAGCTAGAGGCTCCTCTCACCTCGCAGGCCCAAGGACAGCCTCCCACTGTTAGGTTCTACAGAGAGATATTTCCAATGGGTGACTTACATGGTCTACTTCCTGTTTTTGTTTAGCAACAACAGGCTGCACCAGTGGAGAGAGTGGCTCGAGAAGAGAGAGTTGTGGCTTTATATGACTTCCAAGCCCGCAGCCCCCGAGAAGTCACGTTGAAGAAAGATGATGTCTTAACTCTGCTCAGTTCCATCAACAAGGTGAATGCCCCATCAAATCTTTTCTCCATCAACAAAATGGTTCTTCCAAAGTCATTTCCCAAACTTGCCAGATATCCAACATTTTTCTGTTGTCTCTCTTAAATAACCATAATTTATTGAAAGTACCTTTCCTCCAGATATTGTCTAGGATGTTGTACCTATTTGAATTATAATATTAATTACAGTTAACAAAATGAATATTCAAAGATCTTAAGTAATTACCCCATAACATACAAGCTATGAATGGCTGTTCTGTAATATTTAGATATATTACAGGATTAAATTGTCCCTTTCTTTGATCTCTTTACTTGTTTCTCTTCTGTGCCAATATTCCTAGTGATGAAACAATTGTAGTTAGGCTTAGGAGGAGGATGATTGAAGAGAAGTCTTTGTCAACCTGGTTATCTTTGGATCTTATTCCTGTAAGAATGGTGACAAAATATTGAGTACAATTTTAAATATGTATTTTTATAAGAGCTCAAGTAATTTTTTTTTATATTCTAATACTTAACCTCCTAAATAATTAGGAAGAGAAGAAGAGAGTTTGAAATATTGTTACTCTGAGAGGAAGGAAAATTTTAGAGAGGCTAGATGTTTCATTATTAAATAAGTTGTGTACCAATCCCTCTTTCTCTTTGCTTAGTCTTCTTCATTTCACCACATTATTCTCTGAAGAGATTAAATCCAAAGTACTTATCACTGCTCCACACCCAAACACTCTCTGGGGATAAAGGTGACAATTAAGTATATAGTATTCACATAAGTGAATTTCAGGGCAACACAATTTTTAGGAGTTCTGGGAGAGGGATAAGGTGAGAGTTCTTGTACAATATTGTCATACACAGGCGTTCTACTACTAACAAGCCCAGTTTGATTCAGCCTTCGTGGGTTTTGTTTGTTTGTTTGTTTTCTTTTTTATTTCTTGTGGACAAAATGCCCCAGAGGAGAACTATTTTTAGTTTTTGCAAACCTTGTGAAAGTTAAAGGTCTAACATCAGCTATGTCAGATTCCTTGATTTTAGAGGCTTATCTATGAAATTCCTGCAACTCCATATTTATGTTCTTTGTAATACTTGAAAATTATATGTCCCCAATAAGTGATGGGTTTGCTTTTCTTGGCTATCAGCCTGTGGCTGTGCTTAGAGACTGAGGAGAGTTGAAGCCTCTCTTATTTGTGGTTTTTCCAAGAACTAAAGAAAGAGTTGGGATCTGTTCTCCCTCAGGACTGGTGGAAGGTGGAAGCTGATGATCACCAGGGTTTTGTGCCTGCTGTCTACATCAGGAAACTGGCCCATGATGAGTTTCCTATGCTTCCACAGCAGCGGCGAGAAGAACCAGTCAACATCACTGAGTGCCAGGAACAGATTGAGAACCAGTAAGTTCTTGAGCCTGGAGAACTGGACAGGTGTTTGGCCAAACATTTCCTATTAGCCAGAGTCACTTTTCATGACTGCATCTGTTAGTTTAAAGATGCCTTGAAAATTCATAAATATTAAGAGCTGAAAGTAAACTTAGAGTCCTTTAAATATTTTAGTTTTTATATAAGGAAAGGGAGGCCCAGTACCATTAAGTTAATCACCCAAGGTTAACAGTTAATACAGTCATGTCTTCGGACTCCCTGCTCAGCATTCTTTCAAGGTTATCTAAAGGTCTTCTGACTTTCATATGAATTTTGTTTGCTATGCCAGGCTGCTTCATATCCAGTTGTCAGCAGGCATGCCAAAATTTCTGTAGAAATTTTTTAGGATGTTGCCAGTCACACTATTGGAACATTGACATTTTTATTATGGAACATTCTGGGTTTGTCTCTCTGCTCTTAATGCTATTTTTCTTCTACCTTTATTTTCTCCTCTCCTTTCGTGTACTTCTTTTGATTTCTCTCTCTCTCTCTCTCTCTCTCTCTCGCTCTCGCTCTCGCTCTCGCTCTCGCTCTCGCTCTCGCTCTCGCTCGCTCTCTCGCTCTCGCTCTCGCTCTCGCTCTCGCTCTCTTTGTCTCTTTCATTCTCTTTCTCACCCTACCTCTACTCTTCTTTGTTTTCTCCCTCCGTTATTGCATGTTTCCTATTCTCTTCATTTATCCACCTAGGTACCACTCCCTTCTTGATCAAGCAGAAGAATGTAAGTGTCGTCTATTGCAATGTTACAATGAGTTTTTGCTGGCCTATGAGGCAGAAGACATGCTGGACTGGATCCGAGATAAAAAAGCAGAAAACACTGGGGTAGATCTAGATGATGTTTGGGAGCTGCAAAAAAAGTTTGATGAGTTCCAAACGGTGAGAAAGAGGGACTGCTTCCATTAGACAGTTTTTTGAGATTATCATTGTTTCCTTTCATCTCACATCTCCTAAGTAAGTCTTTAATTTCACATTTGTTAAATATCCTCCCCAAAGCCACTGAGAGTTCCAAAATTTACAACTTTCTTTGGGTATTGTAGGTTCAAGGAAAATTCAGAGGGAAGTAGCTACCTTAATTTTGCAGCCTGCAGTTTCTGCTACCTCCAAGTCTTGCAGGGAGTGCTGCTCTCCCTGAATTCTTCAAAACTTGCTCTATATTATACTGTGTTCCTGATGCCCAGATTGAGATGTGATGTTTTTGGACTCTGTGAAAAGTCTAATTTGGGGGCAGAAGTTGGGTGGGAAGATGGGAAGAACAACCTGACTTTATAACTAGACAGTTTCTAAGTTTCTGCCTACATAAAACCTTTCCATTCTCCTTTATTCTGACTCATTTTATTATTTTAATTAACGATGAGCATAGCCCCCCTTTTTTTCTACTGGTAGTTTCCATATGGAATTCAAAGTGTTGTAAATAGATTAGATAGATAGATGACAGAGAGAGAGAGAGAGAGAGAGAGAGAGAGAGAGCGAGATATTATATTTTATTTTGGGGGACTATATAAAGAGAAAAGTGAAAGAAAAGGAAAGAAGTAAAACTATAAAAAGAACACCAGGAATGACATTTTCATGGAAAAACTTATTGAAAGGTTATTGTATAAAGCAATGAACAATATTGTCACTGTAGACATTGTGATGAGCTTCCTAGAGTTGTTTCTTACAGCATACTTTAATATAAGCAGGTTGCAACTCTGTTAAGGAAATTTTATAAAAGGTGGAGAAGTTTATATCAGTAGGAAGAATATTATATGTCTCAAATATAGATTCCTTTGTTGGTGTTATTTAATTTAGGAAAAACATTCATGTGTTAGCACCCCACTGTTCTAATAATAGAAGTTTTATAG